AGCAGCCCAATCTCATCAAGGAACGGTGACAGCGAGGCTAGACTGCTGGATGACGGAACCATTCCTTTATTTCGAAGAGCATTTATGTCGTCTGAGAGATGTGTTCGTTGAATCATTCTTAACAGTATATGAGTGCCGTTCCGGATGTCTGCTAGGGTTATTCCTGGACCATGACTTTTTTAATAAACTTTGATACGTATGCAAACGTACGCTGCAAGCGGCCGAAAGAATTCACAAACTTGCAGTCCATAGAGACATCATGGACTGCGTCCTTTACAAGAAGCACAGTTCTTCGACGCTCAATTGAAGCTCTTTCTGGAAGTGCTGATACTGGCCACTGAGATCTGGGCTTACAGAGGAAACCTGGACCGTTGAACCAATGTAATGATGCATTTAAATCCGAGGGCAATGCACCCCGAGATAATATATCCGCGGGATTCAGTGTTGTAGGTATATAGTGCCATTCCATTGCTGATGTGAGATCTTGTATCGTGGCGATGCGATTTGAAACAAAAACGTTAAATCGTCCGGGCTCGTCATTGATCCAAGAAAGCGCAACAGTAGAGTCAGACCAACAATGAAACTCGCCTGCGAAAATGCCTAAGCGAGCCACTTCATTCATTAGACGCGCAAGCAACTCTGCCCCGCATAGTTCCAGCTTGGGAACCGTGAGCGTTTTTAGAGGCGCAACTCGAGACTTAGAGCAAAGCAACCTGCTGATGGTATGCTGACCTCTGGATACAATATAAATGCAAGCTCCGTATGCCTCGATGCTGGCATCGCAGAATCCATGGACCTCAACCTTCGATCCTGGTATTAATGATAGCCTGGGAAATGCACTACTAAGACCATTGCCAAAGTTGCTGCAAATGTCTAGCCATGCAGTGTGACATGCAGACGGGAGACTCTCATCCCAATCAAGTTTATGCCTCCAGAGTTGTTGCAAGAAGATTTTAGCTTTCGTTATTACTGGGCCGACCAGGCCGAGGGGATCATAAAACCTAGCAATAGACGAGAGAACAGAGCGCCTGGAGGGCTTAGAGGCTGAATTCAGAGCTAGATATGAGAAAAGAAGTTGATCAGATGCCGGATCCCATGCAAGGCCAAGTGTCTTTGTAATGTCGCTGCCATCATTGAACCTAATGAGCGATTCCTTGTCGCAGTCTGTTACGCCGTCCAGTACCATGGGATGGCTTGAACACCACTTCCTCAATTTAAACTTCCCACATGCCAAGATTCCAGCTGTCTCTTGCATAACAAGTCTTGCTTCTTCGACTGAATTTCCTCCACTAATCAAATCATCAACATAGAAATCGCGAAGCAGTACGTCGGACCCGACTGGGAATGCGTTCCTTTCATCTACGGCAAGCTGATGCATGGCGCGCACAGACAAAAATGACGCTGGTTTTGTTCCATATGTTACCGTATCAAGCCTGAAAACTTCCAACTCATCATCTGGCGAATTCCTCCATAAAATGCATTGTAGATAGCTGTCCGGCTCAGGTACTTTCACGCAACGATACATTTTGCAAATATCGCCGGTGAGTGCAACTGGATAAGATCGGAAGCGCAATAATATGTCGACTAATTTTGGCTGAATGACGGGACCTGACATTAGAATGTCATTCAACGAATGCCCAGTTGTTGTAGATGCAGATCCATCAAAGACGACGCGAAGCTTGGTAGTTGTGCTATCATCCTTCAGAACGCAGTGATGAGGAAGAAAATATCTGCATAGATGGAATGAATTTAGAGGAACGCGTGACATGTGACCAAGTTCAAGATACTCTTTCAGAAATGCTGAGTATTGAGACTTTATATGCGGCAAACGACTCAATTTCTTCTCCAAATTGAGAAACCGATGTCGCGCTTGCTCATAAGAATCTCCAAGAAGCTCACAACTAAGCTTAACAGGCAGGCGTACTGTATATTGGCCACTAGCCAATCGATTGTAATGCCTCGCAAAATGCGCTTCGCAGTCTGAGTCTTCCTTGCTGAACTTTACAATGGAATCGCTGCAGCGCTCAACTTCCCAAAAGCGACGAACGAGACTGTCCAACTTGATATCAGCACAGGAGTCTGTAATCGGATCCAAAGGCGTCTTTGAAGCTATTAGCACGGAGTTGTGGTTGCGAGCCTCGCCACCTGATACAACCCAACCAAGACGAGTCTTCTGTAACAATGGAAGTCCAGGCATCAACTTGATTTGTCCCACACAGAGCAAATCATAAAACAGGCTAGCTCCGATAAGCAGATCTACTCGTTGCGGCCTATGGAAAGCTGGATCTGCCAGCACTATATTTTGCGGTATGCTCCAATTGCTCGTATTCACATTAGAACTGGGCTGCCTGCCAGTTATATTTGTAGCTACCATAGCCGTTATGCTAGTTGTATATTCAGATGCATGAGCTTGAAGAGTGAGGCAAATGCTGCTGCCATCCATGGCAACATTGGAGTCGCCTACGCCGCATACAGATGCCACCGATTTTGTTCTCTTAAGTTGCAGGAGATTCGCAAATCTGGCTGTAATGAGATGTAGTTGAGAGCCTGAATCTAAAAGCGCACGACAAGGAACAAGCTCGCCAAACCGATTCCTTGCCAGAACCACTGCGGTAGCCAGGAGCACAACATCGCTGTGCCGATCCTTGGATAAGAGAGTAGTGGCTGGTGCTGAGGGCTGAGGGATGGTCTGTACTCTTGATGTTGAAGATTGTTGATGGGGCGGAATTGCTGCCTGCGATGTGCTGGAGTGGCCGAGATGAAGAAGCGTATGATGCTTGACTCCACAGACCCGACAACTGCGCGAGCCACATTGTCGCGACTGATGACCTCCCTTGAGACAATTCAAACATAAGCCAGCCTTTCGGACCTCATTCAGGCGAAGACTAGGAGACAAGTTTGCGAATCTTGGGCATTTGTAGATTGTGTGCTCAAGATCATTACAAAAATTGCAACTGTGAGTACTGTGGCCGGTTACGAGAAATGCTGATCTACTGGTAGCAACCTTACTGCAAGAATTCATCGGCTTACTTGACGAATAGTTTGTAAGAGCAAATTTCATCGATTCCAAAGTACGGCAACGAAGCTCAAGAAATGAGGAGACTTCTTCATATCTGGGTATCTGAAGAGCCGTCTCTGAGTTGTCCAATTTCTCTTCCCATTTAGCTTGTGAGGCCTCATCAAGCTTCTGTAGCAGTATCTGAGCAATCATGGCACTGGCTATCTGCTCTGTTGTGCCCAGACTACTGAGCGCACGCATATGGACATTGAAGCTGTCAGATAGCTCACGCAGCTTGATTATGGATCCGTTTTCTACTCTTTTGAGACCTAAGATCTTTACGATGTGGGCCTGGAAGATTAAACGTCGGTTATCATATCTCTGCTTTAATAAATTTACGGCAATTGTATAATTATCATTAGAAATTTCCAAAGAGCGAACCGTATCCAACGCTGCGCCATCGAGGCAGGACCGGAGGTGCTGAAGTCTTTCCATATTGCTGATTTCTGGCCGACTTTCAATGATTGTAGAAAACATTGAGTAGAAATCAGCCCAATTAGCATATCCACCGCTGAACGTAGGTAACTTTAATGGCGGCAACGCAGGTGCAGCCTGCAATCTGGGAGCGGATGCGCGAGGAGGGTCACTTGGACGACTAAACGTGGAACTATGATGCACTTGAGCAGTACGACTTTGCACTTCGGACATTATTGTTGACTGCATGACCATTATTAAATCATCAAAGTCAGTGCGCAAATTGCTGGACATCTCAGTAAAGTCGAGCTCCTCTAGACTTTCATGGGCCTTGCTAAAGGAGTGGCTTAGCTTGTCGATATGCTCCAGTAGAACATTTAGAGTGCTGTCACTGTGATCGGCAAGAGCATCTGAATCGACCTTGGATTGTAGCTTTTTTACGCGTTCAAACACCGACTGTACCTTGAGCTTATAAAACCGCACGCGATCTTCGGGAGCAACTGCACTAGCATCTAAATTCGCCATGACGAGTACAGCAAGAGCAACACGATAGAGCTCAAAGTCGTTGGTGCGAGCGCGATTGCAAGAGTAAGTAAATGTATATATAGCGCAGACACAAACTTGGAATAAGTCGTATTTGTCGAGCAGAGTACTTGCAACTTTAATAAACTGGCAAAGAATTATATTATGGTACTCAAATAATATACACGTATGAATTGTTGCACACCGGTACGATTATTATGGACGCGCTCGTATCGCAGCCGTGGCGAAAAAGTGCAATGTCAACGAAGAATAACGGCAAGCATGTAATTACACTGTGCTTATGTAAACTTAATCACTTATAGATTGAAGCTATAGAACACGCAGTCACTAACCATAGACATAGTTCAGAAATTAGTTGATTCTTTATTAGATTGTCATTTGCAGAAGTTTTCGCATGTGTACTACTTTTACGGGCGCCAGTGTATTGCAGACCGAACGAAAGAGTGTCTGGCGAATTGGCAAAGTAACGGCACGCAACTAATCGCTATATACACTGCTTATGTTCACGGGTGTATGTATGTATGTGATGCTGTCAATATATATATGCAAATATGTAAAGAAACGAAAAGAGAATCACGTCGGGGTCACCAAATGTTGAGCTATCGAGATTTTTCGAATAGCTTTAAATTATTAAACGATTGAATTTACTTAGTGATTAGTTTATTAGCGATTATTTGAGTTTACAGAGTTTATGTGATAGACGCGAGCAAGCGACTAGGCTGTCGTGCTGTCCGCTACTATGTTTGTAATAGTCAATCTAACACTGCATCTGCTCTAAACAAGAGTTAATTGCATACTAACTACAATGTACGCGAGCCGGCGGATTAAGCTGAGCCGGTGCGTGGGTGAAAGAGACAACGCAAAAGGGAGAGCGTGATCTCCGTTACAAATTCTCTTACATGATAACATACTCTATGAACTGCCGCTCTTAATTACAATGAAGCGATGATTGCTGAGCCCAACAGTATTAAAATAAATATTTAAATTGTTCTTACATAAAACGCCATTGGAAGACCAAATTGCCATCTGCCTGAGATTATATAAGCAGATAATTAAATAAAAGCATTTATTTCTATTCATTATATAACCATTTCGAATGCAGTCAGACACACTCAAGAATATCGCTATACGAGTATAAGCTCAACCTAATTTGATATTCTACATAGTTGAAGAAGACTAAATCTCAAACATGAAGCTCGCACTGATTCTTGTGGCCGCTTTAGCAGTCGCTTCACGACCACCTCATCCGTGGCAAGTCCCTGGCAGCGGTTAGGTCAGCACGGACTCATTCCCAAAAGTTTTCCGATAATAAAAGGGTTTGAATATTATTTTGTTGTGAATTGTATTTCATTTTTGATTTTATTGAAAGCCCTTACAATCTTATCATAGGTCAAGTACAGAGATGTCATTGGTCGAACACACCTTCTATATTAGCTACATCAGTTAGGATGAATTGATGTGTATCTCAAAATAAAAAAAATAAAAAAATAAAATAAAAGATTGAGTATTTGCAGTTTTGATACAGAGAATTATTATTAGTATTTTATTAACTCCATGGGAGTATCCTTGCCTCTTGCAAATTTGAGGCTTCTAGCTCGTAAATTGCAGGAGATATAAACTTTTGCGGTTTGCCACGCTTCCTGTGGGCGGACATATGTCCGCCATAGCTTTTTGGTCTTGGGTGGTCAGCCCAAGATTATATATCATATTTCAAGTCTCTAGCTTCAATAGCGCAGAAATAAACTGCGTTTATACAGACAGACGGACAGCAAGACGGACATTGCAGGAAACGAATATTTTCTATACTCGTACTTGTGGTACACAAGCTAGAGGGAGTAAACAATTTATGGCTCCTATATATTATAGTAATTTTGGTTAGCTCTTATTTTAACATTAACACATAAAAAAATTTTAATAACTGAATTTACAAAATTTTTTATATTATTTCACTAGATGCGAGGAAGAGAGTTAAATACAAATTTATTTACTTTTCGTTTGGGAGACTATTTCACGAGTGAGTTCAATCAAGAGCCGCTGTGCCTCTTACTTTGCAATTCCCTAACTCAATGAGCAGATAACATATGCAAGGCAATTAATTTGTCACACAAACGTAATAATTGTACGACTAAATATGTTTTTATTTAAAGAGTTAGCTCAGCCCCAAAGCGACATTGACCCGCATGCAGTTTTTGACCCGGCGGGCACTTGGCCACGCTGCCCAACACTAAGCGGTGGTCCACCGTGGGCAGCTCCGTTGTAGTTACATTGCTGCCCACCGGATGCAGCACGTCCACAGTGGTGCCGTCATCAACTATAGTCATCAACTATTGTCAGCTATAGCAATATTGTATGCTGCAGTCCTGTTATCACCCACGGTGGGGTTGTAGTCGAAGAAGTCGTCATTGGGGAACACGAGGCGATCGTCGACCACGCGCGTCTGGTCGATAAAGATATTCCAAGAAACAATGCCCAAGATCAGCATGTGTACGGCTTTCAACTGCTGTCGCGTTTGGCTGCTTTCACTGAACTTGAGAGACTGAATCGCGACGCGCATGGAGTGGATCAAAGAGCGTCCGAGCAGATTTTCGTAGTACAGGTACTAGCGATAAGAACTCAATATACAAACAAACAAAAAAAAAGCAACAGCAAAGTACATTTTAGAAGCTAGTACGCTTTACAGTTCCAAACTAGAAAGTAAAAGCTCCTTTCCAACTGCTCGAGTTGTTAAAAGCCGAGCTGAGAAAACTCTACAGTGCCGCCTGTTCGTATATGCCCAGACTCCACTATAACTCAAAATCATTTAGCCTAGCCTACTTCTACTTCTTATTGACATTATTATTTTGATCATTTTTTCTCCATTTGGTTTTGATGATGATGAATCATAAATATATACATAAATGTATGTATATGTAGATGGAAAAAGCCCGTTTGTAGCCTAGACAAAAAATTCGAGTGCTTTTAATTCTTAGATATATTCCTATTTTTGTATATTGGGGTAATAATTTTCGCTTTTTACTAACTCTTCGCGATGAGTAAACAAACGGTGCCCATATACACATTTACTGAATCAAACATAAAGTAATAAATTATAATTATAATTGGAGATTTAAATAAAAAAATTTGTAATAATCAATATTAACAAATAATAAAATTCGATTAAAAGAAAACTTTACAGTCAGAGTTGATTTAACTGAGTGAAAAAATTTCATCACGCTTTAGTTTCTAGTATTTCTTAATATCAGTTAATTACAGAAATTAATACAAATCGAATCTGGAGATATTGTTTTATTATGATAGAAATTATATTTTGGTAAATTTGATTCTTTGAATGATCATTTATTCAAATTATATCTGATATCAAATACATTAACTATAGCCAATTTATATATTTATATCCAATCAGAAAAAAGTCTTAGTTTGTTTGGCTAACTAGGCTATGCTTCAAGCCTTCTGGCGACAGTGTCCGCCCCATAGTTCGGTTCCTTCGGGGCATATGGGATTCGTGTCAAGTAGGTTGCGTTCCTCAATCGATTCCGGTTGAATAATTACGGCTTTGCCCTTGGGGTCTTTAGATCCTTGAGCTTCATTGCCTTCATTCTGGTTGCGAAATGTGAAGTCTGTTTTGAAAATTGAAGCAATATTGTCATCCACTGTATTAAGTTGATCAGATTTTGGTTCGGCAGTGTTGTGATAGCTGAGATTGAATGCTTCATCATTTGCTGCATAGGCCTGCAATAGCTGCGCATTTAGCAGGGCTATCAGCAGCCAGCCCAGCGATAAGAGGCCGTCCTTAGCTTCCATATTCACGACTTCGCTGCTCACGAGCTTCTGTTGGCGTCGTTTGCTAAAGTGCGACTTAAATCAGCTCATCGAAAGGTTTTCAAATATTGTTTCTAAATCAGATTTCAACGGAACTGATATGCCGAGATCGGCTGCTCGCTCTCATATGTGCATATACATATTTATCTTATTTATACCGAGAGAACTTTCCGATTCTAGTTGCTTTTAAGAGATTGCTTTTAGAGATTTTAAGAAATTGTCTCATCAATTGATTTTTGGGATATTAGCTGCGCTTAGTTTTCCGTTAGTTTCTTACACAGAAATTCAAATTATCCAGACGAATTTTTTTTCGATTTAGTCGAGACTCTGGTACAGTCCAGTTTTATTAAAATACAGTAAAAATAAAACATGTAGAGATTAATGTCCGTCTCATATGATTTCGCGTTCTTTTCTTTAGTAATTTTTTGGATTCTTGTTGGGCTTATTTGAAAATATTAAAAAAATTCAAGTTATAGAGGTCCAGAGTAACAGCTAGTCGATCATTATTTACATCTGTTGAACAGTTCTTAGGTCTGTTAACCGGAAATAATTAATCGGTAGTACGCAAATTCAATTTATACGAATTCAATTAGCTGCAGTCTCCTAAGCCTCCTTAAGGTATCCAAGGTTAACAATATGTATTGCATTTATCATGGAACTATAAAAATATTATCAATAATAAATTGATTAATTCATACTTTGTACGTTATTCCTAATGCACTGATCATTGAAGTAAAAATAAAGCTGCTTAACCTCAAGATGCCAATCTGGAAAATGGAAAAATGAAAAGCTTTCGGAGGCAGCATTAGCATAAGCTGCAAAAGCTTCAAAGTACTCGCTGTTTTTGTACTCAATGCCCCCATAAAAACTCAAGCTTATTGCATGCGCGTTTATTATGAACCACTCTAGGCCTCCTTGCGACAATGATTTCCAAAAAGCTTAAGGCCACTTCCGCAGATGGGGAGCGTATCCAGTGTAATGCGTGGTCAGATCTCAACGGTTAGTGGATCAATTTTAGACGTTTCCTCTATGATCTCTGCGGGCTTGACGGTTGAAGGTGCTGTCTCCATGTGAAGGAGCTGTTGATCCGTAGGGAGATTGTTGCTTGTGAGCTTCTTCTTTATTTGCTGCACCTGTGTACTTCTATGCAAAGCGGATCGGCTGGTCTCATTCTTTTGCAATAAGAATCCCTCTGCCAGATGTAAATCGTCCCCCGCACTGCCGCTCTCCGTTCTCATCGATTCGGCTACAATTGGAGGAGTTTTGTGTTTCAGATGAATCGTGTTGGCTGCGCACAGTGCCAACGAGAAATGCATCCACAACAACAACAACAACATGGGCACAAGGCTGCGATGCGTAAAACTGGCTTCAGATGAATTGAAATCATGTTAAAACACGTTTATTCTACCCAAAAAAATCAAAGACTAATTGCGAAGAGACTCAGCGCCCATGCACAAGGCTGCCCAGTCTCTAATTGTTATTATTGTTGTTGTTGCTGTTCTCAGTTGTATCCGACGATAAGGGAAAACATGAAACACAAACTTGTATAATTGCATTCATAATGAGATTGCCTGGCAATAGCTTCTCGATTGTCTCATTCGCTTGAGAATCTCAAAAATGCACTCACTATAGAAAATAAGTTGTAATTGATTTAGTCATTAAGCCGAGCTTATTTGAGTCAGCTTAAAACAAGTATTTGACTATTCAGCTCGCTTAAACTTATATCCGCAGTTGCACTTACCTCAACAAGCACCCACGCATAAACACGCATGGGCTGCAGTGTGCGCTTACTATGAGAACTTAATTGTTTAATAATTTTTTTATGGACGTACGATCTTCATGAAACTTTCAGATTAAGATTATAACATGAATATGCATGTTGCCAAAGCACAAGTCTCTAGTATTTGAAATACGCTTTTTACAAAAGTGATGGTGAGGGGGTGAATTTAGAGGTGGGGGTTAATTTTAACAAAAACCGAAATTGTATAAATTGCACGTAAGCATACATTAAAAATTTGGAGACTCTAGCAATAAAGGTGTAGAAGATATAATTTTATAACTGGTTTTCGATAAGGGATTTTTTCGATAAAAAAAGATCGAGATGAGTTATCGATTTTTAATGATAAACTTGATATGCGCGCTGTAATTACGGACATTTAAAAAAAAATTTGAAGTCTCTAGCTCTTATATCTTCTGAAATCGACGCGTTCATACATACGGACAGACAGACGGACAGGGCCAAATCAACTCAGCTCGTCACCCTGATCAAGAATATATATACTTTGTGGGGTCTGCCACGCCTCCTTCTCCCTGTTACATACATTTCAACAAAACCATTATACCCTGATTTCCCATTGAAAATGGGTTCAGGGTATAAAAAAAAAAATAGAATGTTGCAGTGGGGTGTTACCAACTAGAGAATACTCATTCACATCCCATCAGCAATTTAGCAGCTAAGTTTAGCTCTGATACTGTAGAAAATGCAGTTTTTCCCGATTGGCCACGCCCCTACTACTCTACTCATTTATTACCAGTTCTTAAAACGAGCTGAAGTTAACGTGCCTGCAAAATTTGGAAGCCTATGCTCCAAAAATATGAAAATTATCCGCCATAGCTTTTTAGTCTTGGGAGGTCAGCCCGAGTATATATATCATATTTCAGGTCTCTAGCATCAATACTGCCGAATACCTAAATTTGTACAATGCGTATT